CTAGCGTTCTTGGCACCATGCCGCGTGGATTAGGTTTATTAGATAATATGTAACTTTAGATAGATTTAATCTTTAATCTATTAGATCATTTAAATTTGATTCAAATTGTAATTTTATATCGTGTGTCACTAGCTACACAGTACAGCTTTTATCGCTTCCGTAATACTGAAACTTGTGCTCAAGCGTTTTTTATATTATAAAAAAGTTCTTGTTAACTATGGTAGGGTCCCGCAACAGCCTTTTAAACAAACGGGCAGTCTGTCCGGGGAAGTACCTAACAGAAGACAGGCGTGAAGTGGAAGTTTTATACTTCGGCGTTGACACTGGTGAATGAGGTAGTCGGGTGGCCCTCTTTATTATATTTATTGTGATAACGCATCTGCAACGGGTGTAACAAATATGGGCGGCGTTTATTACTCAACATTACTTCTCACGTTATAAAAAAGTGCGAGTCGGACTCAAGCACCATTATCTATAAAAACGGTAAAAAATCATGTCTATTGTATGGATGCCCCACTTAAATATCTCTTTATTCTATTTTTTTGTATTTGTTGTTATAGCGGCAACAGAAATACAGTGTCTGTGAAAATTTCAAATATCTAACTATCACGGTTCTTGAGATTCAACCTGGTGACAGACAAACAGACAGACAGCGGAGTCTTAGTAATAGGGTCCCGTTTCACTCGTTGGATTCGGAGCCCTAAAATGAATTACAAAAATAGATTAGACTGTATTAAGATAATGTAGATTCTGAGATTCACAGATTCTACGAGATTCTGGACAGTATCAATATTTCATATGTACAATTTCGTCTTAAACTAATGGTTAAATCCGAAAGAATTATCCGTCAGTTTACAAGAATTTCTTAGCTGCCGTAGCATAACGCCGCTACGACATAGCAGAACAACCTTCTGTACTCAATAAGAAATATTGCAGGTAATTCTCGTGTGTCGTTATTTATTATACGCTTCTTACATTGTAATAAAATATTTAAAAAAAACACATTACAACAAAGTAAGCAGGAAAACAGTTACTCTACAATAATGCAACCACAGTGTATATACAATAACTTTGCAAAATTCTCTATAATATCGTAGCACCTGTACATGACCGTAGCTTGTTCGTAGCACATGAATGTACGTGATTTAACATAGTAAAAGTAGCTCTACGAATCATAACAAAGTAATGTGAAATTGTCCGATACAAATTGTAAGCAAATTAATCTATTGGTAAACCTGTTATTATTTATACCTATTTCTTTGGATACACAAACGCGAAGCGAGGACTGTTTTATGGCAAAGTTTTGTATATTGACAAATTATTTTTATTAAATTTTTACACATTTTCGTTAGTAAATTTTCTTTCTAACTTTTTTAAGAAAAACATTGCCCTTACTTTTAAATAACGTTATCCTATGTTACAACGTTTTACAAACATAAACTTCACGTGTAGGAACACCCAGATGGGAAACAACTATTTGTGGGTCACACAAAATAGTTGTCCCGTGTGAGAATCGAACCCACGACCCCCGACGCCAAAGCCAATACCTTGGCAACAGCAGCACGGAGTCATCTAATTTTAAAATTGCAATATTAACAGTATACAAAATATCTTTGCATGTACTTGAGAGAGAATCTAATACCTTTAAACGAGCAATTCTTGTATTTATTATTATATAATATATTCTTGTATTTATATATATATATATATATATAATCGGTATCTCGGAAACGGCTCCAGCGATTTTCATGTAATTTGGTATGTGATTTTAGAAATTATCATTTTATCCCACTTTTCAGGGAATGAAAAATATCATTCCAATACGAAGACGAAACAGAAGGCCGTGGTTCGTGTCACTTACACACGTATTTTTTTACTTTTTTTCGATACCAGATCATTGCTTTCTTTATTTTTTGTCGATCCAGATGATTTTGTTATTTTTTTCCCTTTTTTTAAAGTTCTTTCTTTTGTGAAAAACAGCAGTTCATATTTTCTTATTATTACGTCGGTAAGATTGAAAAATATTAGGCATATTTCATTACTCAGTAATTTATATCTAAATGTAATTTCCAAAATACACGTTTTATGAAAACAAAATCAAACCGAGCAAAGCTCGGTCCTCCAGGTACTTTATATTATTTGTATCATAAGGTCCCTATTTGTATTATTTGTATTTGCATTATAAGTATAATTTGCAAGACCGGTGGCTGTTTCAAATTCGTAATGCATACGAGTATGGTAGATTCTTTTGAGCGGAGTCATTTGAACAATTTGTGGTTTGCACCGACCTGTGGTATAAATACAACGTGAAACGATGTTGGGCCCAATTTGCGGCATACCGGAACAATGTCGGAATATCGCGAAATGTCGATACAGCCAGCCGCAACATTTTAAGTATTATATAATTCATAATTAGCCATAACTTAGCATGTTAATAAAAAAATATAATAATTCGTAAATAAGTGTTTATTAATGAAAGGTATCTTATTTTGGATATTATTAATATTGGAGCAAATTTTCAAAAGATGGCACTATCATCACTTTGTTCATAATAATTTTTTAAAAGGTACTTTTTTATAAAAACGTTACCTTCATTCCACTCGTGTATGAATTTAATGTCAATAGTAGCAAATATTACCTTTAAAATGGTCTTTGAATCATTAAAATAGTGGCAAATATTACCTTTAATTTGATGAAGAATTATGGAAATTATTACCGACAAAAACATTTTTGAGAAATAATAATAGGATATTATAATATGGATATATATGTGGGTACACCTACATAGAGACTAGCGGACCCGACCTGTACATATAAGCATATATAAGTTACTCTATGGTCCTGTAGACACGTCGTTAATCTGAATCCCTGATTTTTTTTTTGAATTTGTCAACAACATTCTCGAATCGACTTCTACCACAACCACAAAAAATTTCATCGAAATCGATCTAGCTGTAATGTAGGAGTAAAGTCACATACACCCGAACAGAAGAATTATTTATATAAAGATTTGTGAAAACAACAATTAATGGTTCCACCCCGACGAAATATTTTTTTTTATTTTGAAAAAAACATTGCCATTACTTTAGGATGATATTATCCTGTGTTGTAATGACGTTTTACAAACATATATTTCACGCAGACAAACATCCAGATGCGAAACAACTATCTGTGGGTCACGCAAATAGTTGTCCCGTGTGGGAATCGAACCCACGCCTCCTGACGCCGAAGCCAATACTTTGGCAACTGCGCCACGGAGTCATCAATTATTAATAATCAATTATTATGTAATTAATTAAGAGAAGTGACCGAAACTGTTGACAGTTAAAAAAACAGTTAAAAGCAGTTAGCAGTGCGCTTCTTAAGCGAATGATGAACGTAAAACGAGCCAGTGGCCTAGTAAGATCCGCATCCGACTTTACGACACCATTCCGTTTTATTGCCAACAGACTCACTTTAAACGCTGCATATATACATATACAAGTACCCACTTATTGTCAGTTTGAACATACTTTAGCAGGTTCAATATTCCATGTTCAGACAGTAAAAAGTGTACAAAGTGTGGCTAAAAAGACACAGTATTTGAAAGCTATTAGTTTGATCTCGTTGTTAGTCTAAAGATAAGTAATAGATATATTTATGTATTATTGAAATCAAAATACAATATAAATAAATAACACAAGACGGTGTTTACCTATGTAAGGGATTTGGTAAGATGACATGAGTTTTCTTGTTCTAAATATCTTTTTTTTTATGTGAGTAAACAAAACGAGCTGGCGGTTCAACTGAAGTTAAGTAATAACCGCCACATACGGACATTTGCAACACCGATTGCAGATGTGTTGCCACCTTTTAGTAATGTGGGCCCCGGCTACCTCACTCACCAGATGAAACACAGAAGTGTAACACTTCTACATTACGCCGGTCTACTTTCAACCCTATATCTCATGAATTTTAAAAACGGTACAAGTTATGAAAAAGCTTTGGTATTTTATGAAGTTACTATAGATACAGACTGTAATAACTCTCGTAAAGTTGCAATGCTCCAAGTAGAAAATTTAAGTGGCCCTTAAAGTGCGCTCAGGGAAATGAAGCGAAATGAAGTATCGTAAAATCACTGGTAGAGCAATATAACTACGCTGAAAGCTGAGTATATGAGGCTTACAATGATTTCACTGCGCTGCTCAACAGTTATTAGTTTAAAAATATATTGCAACCACATTAGAAAAGAAGGGTGCAATGTGTCATTCAACAGTGTCAGGGCCACGCAACAGTCTACTCTGTTGCAGGAATGGGCAGGTCCGTCCGGGTAAGTGCAGCGACCTCACAGAAAACCGGCGTGAAGTGGAAGAGTTATACTTCTGCGTTTCGTCTGGTAGGGATAGCCGGGGTCACTTTACTAAGCGGTGGCAACCCATCTGCAGCCCTGCAGATGTTGTAAATGTCAATTGGCAGCGGTTATTACTTGACATCAGATGAACTGCAATATTGCTTGCCACTAAGTACTCAGCATGGACAGAATGAAAAACTATGCGAAGTGGCTCGGATCATAAATGAAGATTAATGATTCATCATTATCAATTTATTAATGTATTCATTATAAATTACATATCAAGAATTTCATCACTACGTTTACTTATTGATTAAAACATGAATATCGAAAATATATGAATATCTTTTTAACGATGTGCGATATGAAACTTAAACAATTTGAAAGTAATTTAAACATGCGCTTATGACATATATTGTGTGCTAATGTTGAGAAATGAAAATTAAAATAAAAACTAACAGATACGATTAAAACATACACAGATAGTTAGTTAGGTTTTTACTGTGCCAGCGCGCTTACCATCAAAGGCTGCATCGCCACTTAACATCAGGTGGAATGGCAATCAAGTGCTGGCCAGTTCAAAATAAAAAAAATGTATCACACGCTGATATTTCTTGCTCCAAAACTTTACACACACTCAACCGGTTGAACTCCGATCGGGGTCAACTTATAGCTTATTCCTCATGTTGCATTTAAACAAATCTACGCCAATGCTGACGGCGTCGATGGCTGTGCCCGGAGCGCACGTTACGCCGTAGCCCCCGTGCCCGTAGCAGTGTACCACCTTCACACCGTCCAAAACTTCCGGTTCTACGCGCACTGGAACTCTGTGCGGTCGTAGACCAACCCTATGCGCGACAACCTCAGCGCTCTTCAGCGCTGGCAACATTGCGCAACACCGTTCCAAGATGGCGGCCGAGTCGTGCCTGCACACGTCAGTGTTGTAGCTATCGTATTGCCTCACCCCGCCCAATGTAGCGACGCCGTCGAAGCCGGGGATGACGTAAGTGTCGTAGTCCCCGTAAAAGGCCGTCTTGAGCCACGGTGCTCTGACCTTGAGTACTTGACCCCGGATAGGGACCAAGTCGTGGTCGTTGCACAGCGCTTTGGCGCCGAAACCCGTGCAGTTGAAAACTAGATCGTACTTTCCGCGTAGCGAAGCGATATTGTCTACTCTGCCGGTGAGGATCTTGCCACCATCCTGGATAAATTTCCCCTCGGCCCACGGCAGGTAGCGGTCGCAGCCGATCTTTACTGTCGAGAAGTACGAGCCGTACTTCCATCCGTCACCGCATAGCGACAATTCGTTGTCGTCCACCGCCCGGTATATCGGCACCAGGTCCTCGATCAGATGATTCCTGGTGACGCTGTAGTGCTTCTTCGAGAATATGTACGCGGAGAAAGTCATCAAGCCAGCTTGGGATGCTTCCGGGGATTTCAGTATTTCCTGCCAATAGTGCCAGGAGTCCCGGATCCATTTCTTTGTGTGCCCGTCTGTGGAGCCCTTGAAACTAGTACCCGGCCGAAAGATGCCGGCAGCGACGGCGCTGGTGGTGTCCTCTTTGAAGGCGTCCGCTATTATGGTCAGATTACAGTGCCTTTGCTCCGATTGCAGCAACCTCGCGACTGTCAAGCCGACAACTCCCGCGCCGACTATTGCGATGTTCGGCGAATCGGTCATCTAAAACATTAACGTGTTTGATTATATAGTCAAATGCTTCGAAACTTGAACATGTTCTATTGCTTATCAGACTGAGATAGCTAATGCTATCTTCGTTTCGGCAAACTGAATTTTTCCCCAAATAAGACGGGTCGTGCGCTCGTCGTCATATACCAAGCACTAATGTTTAACCGCCACATACTACATACTGTAACACCACATAACGTACATAATTCTGATAAAGAATAACATTCGCTTTGTCCCTCCCAATCTTCACAGATGATTATGAAGTGAGATTTTGTAGTTGCAATCCGATTTTTACCAAAATTGTGCTTAGATAAAAGAAAAATATATACAAAAGCTTTTACATTATACCTGACTAAGTTACTACACAATCTCTAACATGATGGGCTGCTCATATTATATGGGCTGTACTTATGTATATATTTATGTCCTAAGAATAGGACATAGTTATATATTCCTATCCTTTTCCACTGTGGTAGGGAAACGCCACAGCTTCCGCTGTTGCACTTATGGGCTAGCCCTCCCGTAGACTCCCAACTTGGCACCTACCAAAGCCTTAAAGTTTATGTCATTATATACTATTGCGTTTCTGCGAGGGGTCAAAAAGTATGATTCAGAATAATTGCCCTTATCAAAGCACGAAATAAATTCAACAACTAATTTTTAATAAGTTTATACAAAATATATCATCCCAACAAAATGGCAAATTTGTGCCTTCGGTTTTTATTCTAGTATATGAGTTCCCCCACGATGCTAGCTATTACCGACGAAGTATTTTTTTTACAAAGAATGTTTCAAAAGAAATTAACACAATTAACTATCATTTACACGAAACTCCATACAAATTGCTTATATTTATGCCCAGATTCAAATCTACTGTTGGTAAATGTTTATTTTGTTGATATGACCTTTATAGCTGTAGGATATATTAAATTATCATATAACAAACTATATTTCTAGGCTCAACTTTCTGTCTAATTCTTACCACACGGGATTAATATATCGTTGCAATAAAAGCAATAATCCTACTTACATTATTGAATTACCCGTGATTGCTAGAGCGGTGCGGCGAAATGATCAAATAAAATTTAACACTGGCTGGCGTTAGCTAATTTACGCACTACTCAATGGCTGCGAGCTCGTCACTTGTGATATAAAACTGCGCTCCACTTAACGCTTTATTTACTGCTCGTTATCCAATTATATTTGAAAATACTCAATTAGATAACCCTCGAAACGAGGCAGATAAAAACTGTATTAATAATAACAAATTAGTGTATATAATCTGATTGTAAATTATTTCTCATTATGCTATAGCTATTTGTGAAAGAAATTAACGTTTGTTTACAGAAATAAATTTTGATACACATAAAAAAAATATATGTGTACTTATGTATGCAGGTAAAAAGTTATACTTCTTTAGCCTAAAGATATAAATTGCAATTGATAACGGTTTATAATAACTTAGAGTTATTAATAAATGTTTAAAAGTTGTTATTGTTTGCCAACTATATCATGTTGCTTTTTGAGGGCCAAAAGATGTATAAATTCAAAAATAAATAAGTAAAATCGTGTCTGATTGTACTTAAACATTTTATTATCACATAAAAGTATTCGAATTTGAATGTGGTATGTAAATGTACAACAAACATGAATAGACCCTAAATCAATGATTTTTTATACTACCATTGTCTTAACTATTATTGTTTTCAAGGCTAATTAATTAATATCCTAAACTCATACAATTGGGAAATTAAAGAAAGGAAAAAAAATAATAAGGCTATTCTGTAAATGTCTTAAATTAGAATAAATAACACATGATAATGAGAGTTAATAACCTACCCTAAGGAGATTGACTTAGATTGAGAAATTGCAAATAAAAACTTTTGACAATAAAAATATTTGCTCTTTACAAATAATAAACAACTAAATACACTATTTTATGACAGAGGATATTTGCAAGAAGTGGTAATTTTATCATTATTTGTTTCAGAGCCACGACCGCTAAGGAAAAATTACAACCAACTGTCGTCTAACGAAAAATTTGACAACAGAAAATCTGAAGACGTACAAATCGAAGAAACCGAAGTGGACTCCGATGCGAGTAGCACCGACTTGGATGAGCGGGACAAGCGCGCTGTATGTACGCCTTGTGCGCATGATCGATACAACAACAACATACGTCGGCATGCCCACGACGACTTCAGCGACGATACTGATTACGGTGAGCATTAAAAATATGAGTAACATTTTTTTGCGTATATGTCGTTAAGTGTTATTGTTATTTATTTTATCGATATTCGTGAATTTTTAAAACAAAACGTTTTGGTTTTTTTTTAAAACCATAAACCACTGGCAATGAGAACTGTCAGCTGCCATCGGTTCATTGGGCTGTCATAACTGTCATTCAACAAAGGCTGTGGTGAGTGTCTGACTTCGTTTCGTTGACAAAAGTTCATTTTGTTTTGTGGGCGACGTTGCTACATGACGAATAATATATTGTGTGGATTAAGTATTTGTGATTTTTTTAACGAAATATCCGAAGAACTTTATAATGGTGACTCTAAAATCTGACTTGGACGACTACTTACTCCAAAATGAGAGCCGTAGAAGTTACAAATTTGGGCTACCATCATTCAAAACACCAAGTTTTTTGACGCGAAGCAATGATGAAAGTCCAACTAGTACTAGTTCCACAAGTACCTGGTTTCAGAGTGTCCAGAAGGAATACTTCACTCTGGTAAGTATTTTTAAGTAACTTAGAGCAATGTAACATTAATTATAAAGACAGGAAATCATTTTATATTGATTTTGAAAATATACTAACAATAAAAAAAGAATAACTTGTTTATTAACATTCTTTATAATATCAATATTTTAAGTAGAGTAAGTAGCTATTACTATGATACTTCAAAAAACAACAATAAAAGTTTACTTCCTTATTATGTGACTCAATGCCACAAATCATGTACAATGTTAACAAGATTTTTTTCCTATTTCAGAGTCGGACACAACGATTTATGGGCTTTGGGATTTGCATGTTTTTTGGGATATTGTGTTTTATTCTATCCTTCCTCTATATACCTATATTATTGCTACAAGCCAGAAAATTTGCCTTATTATTCACATTGGGGAGTTTATTCTTCATATTTAGGTAAGTTAATATTCAGATATATCCATTTATTTAAAAAACGAAATAACAATAGGTATCCTTAACTCTATCTCTTGTTTTACACCAACATTTATAACAGGATTAGTAAACAGTTCATTTACCTTTAGTTACAATATTATATGACCTTAATAATTTTGTTGTATATATTTACTTACTGTCTTCAGTTCCTTGTTACTTCTTATATTATCTTTTTACTTGAGTAATAGCATTAATAACTTTGTACCTGCCTGTTAACAAATTTTGAAGATTGTAAAGCTTTATTCTCTCATATTTGATAACTGTATGAAAATATATTCAAGATAAACAGTTGCAAGTTGGAGCCAAAGCCAAAATAATAATCCTGTTAATCAACCTGAAACTATATAGTACAACCACTATTAGTTTCTAATTCTTGAAATTTCAAACTCAAGCCTAAGATTGTGGGATAAAATAGAAATAACCAGAAAATTATCAATTCAAACATTGTTTGTTTATCCCGTTAAAAGAGGTCACCCTATTAATAAGCGGTTTAGTAATTATGCATTCAGCAAAAAGTTTCAGTGCTTGTGAATAGGTTATTGATTTGAGACGGTAAGGCAGGAATTTCTAATAGGGTGCCCATAATGTTTAAAACAATTAAAAATAATCTTTAAAAAAATGAAATCACAAGTACGTATCAGATTCAGATTTAGAATCAAATTCTGCATATGTTCTGTTAATATGTCCGTCGTCTATTAAATCAAAATATAAAATGTACAAAAACAAAATATCTTCATTTTCATTGTTCTAAAACAAATTGTATTCTTAGTTGTAATACAATGTTCAGATTTTTTATAATTCTACATGAGTCATATTCAATCTTGATGATGCAAGATGTGGTCAAGATATCCATCTATATGTAAAATGTATAATTATAGTTGACTATGTTGATATGATTTACGCTGTTGCTAAGCGTTAGCGTCATGGGTCGTGTGTTCAATTCTCACAAGGAATAGTATTTGTGTGGACCACAAATAATTGTTCCGGATCTGAGTTAGTTTCCCATGGATGGAGGGCTGACTTCCCGCAGGTGTCCGGTTGTGAAAAGGATAGCCAAAAATGATCATGATTCACATGTTGTGCCATTCCCACCTGTGAGATTTGATTAACTTATAATTCTTTTTATTTTATACTAATATATATGTTTTTGTTTACAGTTTCAGTTTCCTGTATGGTCCCTGGTCTCACTTCAAATCGCTATTCAGTAAGGAGCGTGCGCTAACTACCTCATTATATGGGTTCACTCTAATCGCAACACTTTATTGCGCTCTGCATCTCCAGAGCACCTCCTTAACCATTGTATGTGCCGTTGGTCAAGTTCTGGCGCTGCTGTGGATGATGATGGGTTCTATTCCTGGGGGCTCGTCAGGAATGAGGTTCTTTGGAAGTATGTTCAAATCATCGATGTCAAACACACTGCCGATATAACAAAGGAAAATTGCAGCCGTTGTTTTAAGGACTGAGTGTGTGTTTAAATTGTGGTTACAGACAAGTAATGCAAGTAGCTTGAATGTATAATGTCAATTATATTTATATTATTAAGCATACTTAATGCATATATAAAATATTATGTTACTAGAAGAATATTTTTGTCATGTTTTAATACCCTTACGTATAAAACTGTAACGTAAAGTTCATTTGTTAAGGTCACAAAGCATATGAATGGGTTGAATGAATTTAAAAGAGACAAAACATAGTTGTATAGGATGTTACAAATTATGTTTCTTTTTTATTTAATTAGTTTGTTTAAAAAATGTATTTTTAATTATGGATTATGTTTAACGTTACTATTTTTAATGATTATTGGCAAATAGCGTTAGACGTGTGTTCATTTTTTGTCGCGATGGTAACGACATGCTCTATAGCAATAATAATTGATAGTCAACAAAACTAGAACTTTGAAAATTCTCATGTTACCATATACTAATCATGTTACCATCGCTAAAATGCACAATTATGTAGCTCTGTATATTGTAAACTAATTAAGACTGAATAAACTAAAACTAATGTAGTTAAAAAAAATTGTTAATGAATCGTGAATATTGACTCTAGCTAACAGTGCTATTTCAAAAGCAACCTGTGACATTCTGTTTGCCTTTAATATGTAATGATTTATTAGAAAAGTAGTATTGAATAATGTTATTTGGATATTTTACTTACATTGTCTATGTTTTATGCAAATCATGTTTTGTATGGTGATTTATGATTAAGAAAAAAATGAATATCATATTTTATTTTATTAAAGTTATATGTGAGAACAAAAAATATATAGGTTGATTCTATCAATAACTTTTTTTTTTAAATTATATTTTATGCTTTATAAAATTTGCCAAACTCCTTTCTGATCTATTCTTATCTATTGCTAATACATTTTTAATAGTTCCACACTTAATTATTTATAACTTTAGCTTACCGCAAACTTCATTGCATATAATTTAAAAGATAGATGTGGAATAAGAATTTGCCAACTCATAAAATATTAATTATCTGAAATGTTTTGTTATATTTTCATTTTATTTCGATTCAACGTAATATGAACAAAACATATCACAAATAATATATAAACAGATAATAAAAAAAGGATAAAGTCTATCTTTTACAAAAACCTAAACTAAGTGTTTCTCCAAACTTTATTGATTACCAGTTACTAGACAAGCATTTCCCATATATTTAATTTTTATTTATAATTGATCAGTATGCCACTCTTAAATTTGTATCAACGCAATAACAAGTTCTTAAGTATCCATAAAATTTTGTATGCTTGCCAGTGTTCATATAAAAATCTCAATGTCTGTTGTAAATACATAGTCCAATCGTATATATATATATATATATATATATATTTGTGTTAGAATTACTTTTAAGAAAAAACATCTGGAAAAAAAACCAATTCAATACAGGGTTCTTTTATATAACTTATCTGAAAAATGAAAATTTTAATTCCGATACTAAAATTTTAATGCCCGTAATATATGTGGTTTTGGTTTGATGTAACTATTATTATAAAAACTTGTTCTATTAACAAATAAAGAAATTTAAACACCATTTAAGTTATCTACACATGGTGTGTACCTATCTTTGTAAATGAATTCACACAGGAATTTCTTGTAATAGATGTAAATTTAAAAAAGTTACAATCAACGCACATTTCATTTTCAATGTACTAAATTATGGGTTGAGAAATTTCTGGAATGTTTATTTAACTAACTACACCTGATATCTATTTCATATTAAATCTTTGATTGTATTTTCTGATTTTTCTTCTTTTTTGATAATACTAAACTCGTCTATTTTTTTCATGGGGTGTTATTGAAAAATCTTAAAATGTCATACCGTAAAATTATTGTGAGGCAGTAATCAAATACTATTTTGCATTACAATCTTATTTGTAAATAATAAAATATAATAAAGAAGCGTCTATTATTTTCTGCCTTAAACCTACTACATCTATTATAACCTCGACTTTTGAATATATCCAGCAATTTTCAGTAAACATTCCAACAAAGTTCTGAGCTTATCAAAACTGTTCCTTTCAGAGAAAACTTGTACTTGTGTCAAAAAATAAATATTTTAGGACACATTTTTACACAACAAATCTGTCGAAAATAACTAACATTTAAAATAATGCGATGATTTTTATTTTCATACATAACGAATGAAATGATTGATCAATGATGTCCCGAGAAAATATTAACAGCTGTCGTATCTAAAGCTGGCTTTACGGTCAGGACCTTTGACCGCTTAGTACCTTTATGAAAGCACGCATAGATGGATGAGGATTTTTTTTCTAAGATGGGGACCCTGTGTTAAGTATTGTACATAACATTTTCGAGACTAATGTATCATTCACCGTTTACCATACCACTCGCTCGCGATTGCTGCCTTGCATGTAATATGACCCAAATAATATTTGTTCCTATAGAACAGTGATGATCGCAAAAAATTTGATATGGAGATCCATAAGGTGGTAGGCCTACACAACTGTGTTTGCTTTTGCATAATGGTTATGTCTATCCGACAATGTACTACGACCTTACAGAAGGTCGAGCTGAAGTGCAAGACTTACACTTCTATGTTTTACTGATGAGTGAGGTAGCTGAGGCCCACGTTATTAAAAAGTGGCAATCAAAATCAAAATCGATCAAAAAATTGAGAAGTTGGAACCTTGCGTGACTTTCTACTCCATACCACCCGTGTCAGTCGGTAGGGTGTTCAAAATATTTATGACATACACATGTATATATCCTGCTAGTCAATCTGCTTCTAAAACTTTTATAGTAGCATTACAAAAGATTTAGTCCATTGAGAACACAGCCCTTTGGCTAATTTTCTCATCTACGCCTGAAGGGTATTTAGGTGTCAATATATTCGGGGCGATGTCATGATCCTTACTTACGAAAATATGACGAGCACAATAGCCCATTACGGCATTAGTAAAGCAAGCAAATTTTCGAGAAGTAGACGCGTTTTGACAATTGGAGCTTCATATCTCTTAAGGACTGATTAATTTGATAATAATTAGCGACCGACACCTTAAAAACAGTTAAGGATGTCCAAAAAGTTCCCCGTGCCTATTACGCAATTAAAACATGTTTTCTCTCGATTTCAGACGAGGCGCTCACCTGCAACGTGTGCGATCGCTCGTTCTCAACCAGACGTCAGCTTAGCGACCATCAACAGAAGAAACGACACTTCGGGTAAATAATTCTTTCTATTTTATCCGATGACAGTAGCTCATGTAAGCCGGGAACAGGGATGGTGAAGGCACGAGCCTTGAGGGACGCCTCCCTTGATTGGAAAGTCAGATCGTTGCTTGATCTTTTTTTCAATTCAATATAACTGCGTTCCGTATCCGTTACGTAATTATATAAAATTTCATTTTTGAAATTAATACATAAAATTTCTAAAAGTCTGAGATCAGCTGGGAGCTATTTTATGGGGATCCAATTAAATATTAACACTACCTGGTACCGTGGTCTATGAAATATCTCCCATTTTAATTTGATTTTTTAGAATGATGATACTATTAACGCATTGAAGACTTTTTTGTAAAGATCATTCAATTTGAAGGAGTAACTAAACATCATCAAAGTTCAGTGTCCTCAAATCCTGGCAACCAACTATTTTAGATCTAAAAATCCAGACGCTTTCACAGAAATGTAAATTTGTCATTAAAAAAAATACGATGTATGTTTACAAAAATCATACGTAATTACAGATTTTGTACTTTCATTGAATTTTCCCCCCTTGTCATTTTGGAAGATTTGGTTTGAATTTAGTGAATTTTAGTGGGGTTTGAATTGCTTAAGGAGTATTTTTCTTAACAGTTGGCGGCACTGGCAAAAGCCCATCACTACTTTGTAAGCCAAGCACGACATTACACCTTCCAGGTGCAGCTCGTGCGACAGCCTGTTCCCCTCGCTGATGGCGCTTGAGCACCACAAGGAGGAGTTCCAGCACTGGAGTGACTCCTCCTATTGCTCTCACTCGGACAGCGAGGACAGCGACGACTGTCACGAGGACCGTCACCGCTTACTCTAATGCCACCATCTCATTATTGCCGGGGACAAGCCAACCAAGCTTGGCACCTTTGTCTGATATCCAGGGACCTTTTTCAGAACCTATCAGGCTACTGCTCACACCGTTTCAATACTCTATCTACAGATGGTTTAGGTTACTAACGATAGGCATGATGATATTAGCTTCATAATACTTACGTCAAAATTCTATCTCCAGTAACCAAAGCTACCTTTAGAGAATATTGAAACCGGCCGTAAATGGATGAAGATTTGAGGTTATAATGGCAGCTATCAAACTGAAAATCCATTGCAATATTAGACGGTCGCGGGCGTACCTAATTGCGCTTTCGCCTTTTGGGCTGAAGTGGCGTTTAATTTAATAAGTACAAAAGATTAATATGTAAAACATTTTTTGTTACTTTCAATATATATTTAATAGTAAAAGTAACTTATAAATAAGAAGTTATGTTAATGATGTATTTCCGCTAATGACTTAGAGCATTTGCTATAATTATATATATATATATATATACAGAGTGACACTTATTAATTTTGATATGCAACGTACTTTCGTAACAGACTGGAAAACAAAAATAGAAACAAAATTAAAGCTACAGGAAGAGTTACCGAACTATTTGTTATAAAAGGTGTCATTATAAAATTAATATTATTCGTTTCTACAGACAAGCAACAATATACAATTATAGAGTTCGCCGTGTTAGCTATCCCCATTAGGCTAAATGCTCTAAGTCATAAACAAACTTTATGTAAAGAATAGTTTTAATTTCGTATCTCGACATATCGTGTGCAACTTTACTCATTAGTAGTGCGTCTAACATCTGAATTGCGAAAATATCTAATACAAAAATACGGAATTTGTCATATCTACCTTTTCTTACAATTTATGGTTTCTTTCGAATAGAATAAGAAAATATTAACATATCCAAGTAATAAAACTATCTTCAATAACATAACAAGTAACAAGCTGTACAGTACAGAAAATGGATATATTCAACATATCTTCAGTCTTAAATGAACAAGAATCCGAGTCACTTTCGTTAATCCAAGTCATTTCATTAGTCATTCGGGAGGTAGGGGATAAGTGGTAATGTCCCAAATGTTTTTCACAGAAGTGTCAAAAATTTTAAACATCTTGGTATTTTCTATTTTACGGAAACTTGCTATACCATCCGATACAGTCCTTATCTCTACACTCCATATGTACCTATTTTTGTATATTATGTTATGTAATTGTTAATAAGACTAATTGTTCCTACTTTTGTAGCCGTAATATACAGCGTGTCGTTACCACCGCGACAATAAATGAACACACATATAGAGGATAACTTTTTAAAATTGTATTAAACATTTACATTCTTTAAACATCAATATTTACCGAGTTAAAAATTTTCCAAAACAAACAATTTTAGAACACCTTACGTATAAAACTGTAACGTAAAGTTCATTTGTAAAGATCACAAAGCAAATGAATGGGTTGAATGAATTTAAAAGAGACAAAACATACTCTTAGAATGAGAGGCTTGTACTGCGACGCTGTGGCGCGAGTTGTATAGGATGTTACAAATTTTGTTTCCTTTTTTACTTAATTAGTTTGTTTGAAAAAATTTTTTTATAATTGTTTTTTTTTTGTAACGTTAATATTTTTTTATGATCATTGGCAAGTAGCATTAGAGGTGTGTTCATTTATTGTCGCGATGGTAACGACACGCTGTATATTACGCGATGAAAATTATTTAAATAACTTCTTCTGCCATTATATTGTACAAAATTTAATCTTTAATGGTGTTTTTAAATTTATAAATAAGTTGACTGCGCCAAGGCCTAAATTGTATTTAATTGTCCAATGATTTGTGTCACCGTTGCATTGAAAGAAAAGCTTACTTTATTAAGGTATCTTTTTAAAACGCAGGAAAACAATACTTACCATACATAATGTGCGTTTAAGCACGGTGCGGGTGACATAGTACAGGTGAGTTTGATAGGACTATCCAATGACCTAAATGCTGGTCTTTTGAGGCAATATTTCTTGCCTCAAAAGACCAGCAACGATTAAACACCCTCACTCATCGCACTCATGTTTGCAATGGAAGAGAAAATGCTATTGAATACAAGAATTGCTTAAGAAATTATTGTGTGTGCGTTTACACCAAGGAAAGTTTTGAAACAAAACTTGAAGCAAGTCTTGTTCAACAGTCAAGAATGTTACGTGGTGTTTAGACCATGCAACTCATTTATTGCATCAATTTAATTGTATACAAGCAAGAAACTTGCACCATGTAAATGGGCCTTTATACGCGGGACTTTGACATACAAATATGGATCGATTTCCGTATTTTTAAAACAAAAAATGTATGTACCACAATGTGGTAATTTATTTCGTAATGTGACTTCAGTTAATTAATGTCAAATATCAATGTCCCGCTTATCATCTTATACATATCAAACTACATATTGAACAACTTCTATTCAGGGCCTAGTATTTATGATCGATTAGTTTGAAATTTTCTAATAAAAAAACGTAAGTGTTATAATCATTTTAATAAATATTTTTAGATAAACTAAATTCATTTAGAATGAACCTATTATGAGGATATTTCGTAATCCATTGATATATGATATCAATAAAAATTTGTTTGAAACATAACATTAGAAAAATAATTTTCTCAATCCAATTAATTTACATCAATTTTTATACAAATCCAGATTTTTAATTTAAAATGAAACAGTAATCGATTTATTTTATTTATCCTGTCAACCTATGTAACGTTATTTTATCCGTGCGGTCATAATAACACAAGAGTATCATTGTCTTGCATACATTGCCACAAATTCGGAACTTAAATTTGAATGACAGCTGTCATCCGCACAATGTAAACAGTGTAGTAACCATGGTAACCTAAATTAACCCCCACCCAATTTGTCTTCCTAAATGAAGCCCGAGAGAATTTTATGTCTAGATCATTAACAATTTTTTTGCAGTTATACTTTTTTTGATGCGTTTGGAAAAAATAAAGATAGGGGAAAAAAGGTGAAGCGACCACCTTCACGGTATTACCATGACAACCAATTACAACTTTTTGACATCATTAAAATTTCAAATAATTTAATCTCTATTTATCACAGGGGATAAAATTTTTGGTTATTTTTCTTTTGTTACGCTGAATAAGTATAAATTATTACGTGCGTACATTTAAGTACACATATTTAGCGAGCTGACGGTTCAACTGATGTTAACCGCGGAGTCATTTCCCCGGACGAGACTGCCATACAATTAATGCAGAATAAAATGGTACCTTTTTTAACCGACTTCAAAAAGGAGGTTTTAATATTTTTATTTTTTTAATGTGTATTCGCGGATAAATTCGCCGTTTATGAACCGATCCTGAAGATTCTTTTTTTTGTGGGAAAGGAGATATAATGACTGATGTGATTTAACCTTTATGTAAATATTGTAACACTGTCCCGACGAACCAAAGTCCTTCATAGCGGTTCAATAGAACAGTGTAGTCTAGTCTAAGGTAAATACTCTAAATTGGGAGTTTGGCCTTTCTGGCTAGGACAGAATAGGTATGTATTTTCATTCGGAGTCACCATTAGAATTTTCCCTTGTTAAGTTCCGAGTGTCACACAAGTAATGTACCCCAAGACCTTCCCTTCTAGACATTCCGTGATTACATTGTAATTATTTACTCATTGTAAACATCATCCACTAGTCGTAACATTTTTTTATAATGTGTAATGTATCGCGCTCGGCAACGTCGGCCGCACTTTCTCACGATGAAAAATAAAAATACAATTCAAAATATGTACAGAAGTGTTTTATTGTTTTTTTTTTTTTTAGTTTTTCTTTTTTTTAAACTATTATTATCATATAGGAAATCACGTAACCACAGAGTAGTACATGCTACGGCACACGTAAAGAATGTACTGGCGCAATGTCCGATCCCCCCCGCGGGGACGGTGCCGAGGGGAGGCCGCTCGATCGGCGCGCATCGGAGGGGGGAGTGCGCGGGGTAGGGGGTTCGGTGTTCGGCGTTCAATGTCGGGCAGCGGCGACGTACACGAGTTTACAAATTTGTCCCATATGAAAATCGAATAATCAGAGGAATACAAACGACGAATCTCTTATAAAAGCATAATACGTAGTAGTAGTTGTAGTTGTGGTGGCGGCGGCGGCGGTGGAGGGGCGCTCGGCGTGAGTTCCAGTCACGCGCTGGCGGCGCCAGGGGCGGCCGGCGCCCTCTGCCGGGCGGGGCGAGCGCCGCTCAAGCGGTGCCGTTCACCAGCGGCTCGGCCTTCGCCTTGGCGAGGGGCGAGCGCCGCTTGCCGCTGCGCTTGTCGCCCTCGCCGCCCGCCGCCCCCGCCCCCGCCGCCGCTGCCGCCCCCGCCCCCGCCCCCGCCGCCCCGCCGGCGCCGTTCTTCCACCCGCCACCTGCGCAACGAACGCCACGTCAGCGGAGTCTCACCGCAGCCCGAAAACACAATAAGCGTTGTATGCTCAAACTCAAGCTTTCCGTGCAAATGGATACGAAACATTGACATGGCTTCGGTTACAACGATTTAAAATCTGAAAATCTTACAACACATCGTAATGGCTACTGTTTATCATCTATGGTGTTATATCATGCAATTCCTATATAACTACAAGTGAAATAGTACATGAAGAAAAATTAAAAAAATTTACACTAATGTAATAGAAATAGAAAAAGTAACATGCAATGTTGACAAATCATGTTCCTATTATAAATACAGTATCAACTAAAATTACTTAAATTTTAAATGTAGAAATGAGTTTTTTTTTTTTATTAATGTAGTTTTCTCTAACAGTAAAAGTTAATGAAAAAAACATAAAAGAATATGTATAATTGTGGAAGAGCTAATTTCAAAAATAGCTTAATGTACCCATGTCAAATGCACATAAATCAGATTTACAGATTAACTTACGGGGATCTGAATGTAAATGTAAATTGTATTAATTTAATTACAAAGTTGTAATTATAAAATTTAGCAAATAAAGACATGGAGTTAAGTGAACGATTATGTAAGCCAAATAGCAATCATTATACACATTCTGAAAGTTGTTAAGTTGTATGATTATAATGTCAGTTTGATGACGTGTAGAGTGAACAAGGAGTGTTTTGGATTATAATGATTTAGTAAATGTCATTAACAGTTTGATAGCAGCTATTGAAGGCATTTTACATAATGATATAATTGCATTACTATCATTGCTTAACAGACACTGCAAGAAAATTTAGCTAACATTGTAGCAAAACAAGTGTAAAGTGATGAGTGCGAAATGAGATCCTCAACGGTGTGTGTTAACGAGTCAGCGGTGTGCGGTAGTGTGGCAGTCGTGGCGGTGGTGGCAGTGGCAGTGGCAACGGTGGCGGGGTACCTGTGCGCCGGCGCCGGCGCCGCCTCGCGCCGCCGTCCGTGGCAGCGCGGCCCTCCTCCGACGACGCCGATTCTACAACACACGCGCGCCCTCTGACTCACCGCTCGCACCCTTCGACCCCGGCACCCCTAGCGACGCCACCACCGACACCCCTCACCCCACCCCCCCTCTCTACGCCCACTACAACTGCTACGCTTCTAAACTCTCCCACTACTCGCATGGTAATCGTGACACAAATGCACTTCCAAAGCTACCATCCTCTACAACCCCAATGTTACTTATTACACGCCCTCCTTATCAGTTATTTTTCCATTGGGGCACTCCCAAAACACCTTGGAAGTTGCCCATCGTACCGAGATCTCTAAGTAGCCACAAGTCTAGCTGGCTATTAGTGTTGAGAGCTATGCATACATACACACATAATTTTTTCAATATATAAGGAGATTAATTAGTTATTATTATGTAAGAAAAATTATTCTTAAGGTCGATGAGCTTCATATAGTGTCACTTTCATTGTAATGTTTTGACTCTCTAATATAAAATATTATCTTTAGTAATTTTAGTCGCTGCTTAAAATAAAAACTAATATGCTGCAATTATAAATTGCTCAAAATTTTCCAGAAAATGGTACACTTCAGGGTCTCATATGCATATTGCAACAAAAAATAATAGTTATGAAGTTAACTTTGAGTGTACTATTTTCCAATTTCACTGTGAGTAGGAAACCTACGGAGTTTCTTTCGTCTGTTTCTTGTCCGTTAGAGGAACCTCATTACGAAACGGTGGTAGATTTAAATAATGACTATCGATAAATGAAATGTATATTTCTTATTTCGATGAATAAATGATTTTGATTTTGATTTTGAAAGTGTTACAAGAACCACAGAAGCAGAGGGCTATTCACCAGAGATAAAATATTAACATAGAAAAAACTAAATAAAAACTACCCAATTGTATGTAGTATTTAAAATGCATAAAATAAATAGATATGATAGGAAATGATTAATTAATAAATCTAATATATGCTATTTATACTATTGACAATTGTTAAATACATAACACTACATTTTAACTAGCACATTATGTAATATTTTCAGATTTTCATAGGTTTTGAACAGAAAAACTTTATTGTATTTTGTTTAAGTGATGCAAAGTGAACATTGAGTTTAAGTTAGTTTTTTTTTTTTCAATGAATAAAAGAACCAAGATACAACTGATTAAACATTAGTAGAAATATAAAACCTTGCATTCATTTGATCTTTGATCATTTTTAAGTGTTGTAGAAGTGGACGGGATGAACAATGAAATCATATTATTGGTCTTGGTATTGAATTCTGAAGTACAAATTTATTATGAATCTATAAGCATTTTTTATTTATTAGATAATGCACCATTCATTGTTATTTTACAGTGTAGTAAGTTAAACAAATTCATTGTGGTGGTTGTTTAATTTAATTAATTCACTATTATAATATTATGTAACATATTCTTTTTTACTTCATTAAAATTAGATCAAATCTGATTGTCAAAAGCTGCTGTTAAAAAGGTTCCACCCAAAAAAAATATTAACTTTTCAAACCAATGCCATAAGATCAGTGCATTAATTATAGTGGCTACTTTGCAAGAATTAAAAAAAGAATTAACAATTTTAAAGCTACTCCTAATTAATAATTTAAGGTTCTGCATAAAAGATCTGTAGTTTATGATCATATGAATAATAGTGTATCACACACAATGTATCTAATTTTAAAACTATATTTAATGATTTAAATCATCGTCAATTGCATTCAATGTCTTTCTTCACAAACAAAGAGCACTGACAAATGGGATACAATTTTCATTTGTTTGAAACTAGTAAACTCGTTAGGTGCGTATAGAAGTACGCCCGTGTGTTGGTGCGGGGGTGTGCGTGTGAGGGGGTGGGGGGGGGGGTGGGGGTGTGGGTGTGGGTGTGAGTGGGGTGGGGCGTGGCGTACCTCTGTCCGCGCTGGACACATCCTGGCTGTCGAGCACAGAGCTGTCGTCGTCTACTGGCCGCCGCCGCTCCTCCCTCACCTCGCGTCTGCGCCCACTCTGTGGATATACCAAAGCTTTATTAATATGATATACATGAAACAGATATTTCTACACAATAGGGGATACAGTAATATTAAAATCAGTTAAAGAGTCATTAATTGTTTGTTCTGTGCAAAGAATTGCTTCTCTTTTACAAATGTAGCAATGAAACTTGTAAGAAGTTTATTAATTTCTGATTAGAGCTACCATATACCAACCTGCTTTGGCGTGTATGCTGGCCACATTCAATCCAAATTTGCAGCTGAGGTATTTAAATTGAACTGGCCCAGTATACGTTTACGCTTTAGGAAGCACTGTAAATTAGACAAGCATCTGAACAGCTTGTGATCCTCTGCTCAATATTCAATAACAGGAAGGGTTTAATTTGGCAAGTGAAGAGTCTTTGTTAGCTCTTCTTCAACAATCAACTAACTATTTGAACCAATTGTTGGTACAGGAGGGGAGGCTATAGATCCAGAAGATTGCAATAAATCTTCTATTTCATGGTGGTTGCTGGGCCTGTTTACCCAACCGCATCCATACGAATTATAATAGTTAGGGCTATATTAATGCCTCTAATGTTTATGCAAAGCTGTATACTGTGATGTGGTAGGGTTGTTGCATCAATGGGCAGATGGGTCCAGGGTGAGTTCATAGAAGACCGTCGTGATGTTTAAGTATTATACTGAGGGCCATTGAGTGCTTTAGAGGTCCACGGTTTCACGTTAAGAGATAAAAAAAGCTACATACGGCGTCCCTCTGGTCGCGCGGCTCGCGGGGCTCACGGGGCTCGCGGGGCTCGCGCTGGTCGCGGGGCTCGCGGGGCTCACGATTGTCGCGGGGCTCGCGCGGCGGGCGCGGGTGCTGGTGCTGGTGCGGGTGCGGCGCGCGGCCGTTCTCGAGCGGCGGCGGGGGGCGCCTCTCGCCCGAGCGCGCGGGGCGGGGCGCGCGCGCCTCGGCCGCGGGGCGGCGCGCGGCGGGCGGGTAGCGGGGGGGCGGGGGGCGGGGGCGGCGCGCTCGCGCGGCGGGGGCGCCCCGCGTCGACGGGTACGAGCCGCCGCCGCCCGGCCCGCCACCCAGCACCACGCGCAGCTGCTGGTCGATCTCGAGCTTCTCGGCGCGCAGCAGCTCCACCTCCTGCGGGCGTGCGTGCCGGTTATTAAGGCGGCTCCGTGTTCGACTGTATGTATATTATGATTACGGACTGCTAGAGTCCGCTGCTGAACACTGACTTCCCCCACGAAGCACGATCCTGAGCCCCACCACAATTAAACAACCTACGTTCTTACCCATTATAGCATACAATACAATACTTTATAACAGTACTCTGTTTCTTGTAATTATTTCACCCCTTAACTCTTGTCTTTTAAAATGCAAGGAATGGCTACTGAAACCAACAAATAATTTGCCGCTTTTTTATCCAATTTGGAAAACGCTTGGGTTACTCTGAATACAACTTTGGCTAAAACCACCATGCCTAAAATTTTAAGTTTTCTAGACAAACAACTTATTTTGCAACGCAAACTTGGGCATTGTTATGGATAACCCTTTATTGTGGTACCCCTCACTCATAAAAGATTACAAAGCCTTTAAATCAAAAGCTTTGCATTGGCATTCATTATGTGTAACACAATAACAAACGAAGGGTAACTTATCAACTTCTGACAATCCCTCAGAAACAATATTGAATAAGTTATAGGTGATGTTATTACCTTGAGATGAGCTACATGGTACTCGACCAACACCTTGGCGTTGGCAATATTCTCGCGCGTTCCTACGAATACAAAGGACATCATCCCCTCCTCGCGTGGCGCCGACGGCTGCGGTTCGTTATCGCCCTCTACCTTCACCTGCCAAAACACTTCACAGTTACTTCCCTTTTCGTTACTTAATTGTCAATATTGTATGGTAAAAAATAGTTTGATACATTGCCCCTATTGTAGGATAGCATTATCCTGTGTACACAAATAATTGTCCCGTGTGGGAATCGAACCGCACTCGGCGTCGAAGCTAACATCTTACCAACTGCGTCAGTTCATTAATTATTCTTCACCTGCCAGTACACTTACAGTTACTTCCCTTTTCATTACATAATGTTCATTGTAATGGTACCAAATAATATGATATTAATCACAGAAGTCATCATCATCCTCTTACCCTTATCTCACCAAAATGGTAGTGTAGTGGTTGTAGATAAGTAAATAGTTGTAGCCCGACAGCCTAAATGTAATCCTTGTTTTAACTGTAGTGTTGGATTTTAATTTCTAAAAGGGTATTAGTCTTGTTTCTGTATTTTTATGGTCAACAACCGATGAATATATTAAAACAAATTTATGAATCATAAATTTTACAGCTATAATTAGCTTATAAGATTTGGGCAATCCAAGCAAAAATTTCCAATTGTCTATAAAAATGAGAGAAAAAGGCGTTTCATGGTTAGAATTGAACATTATTTAATGATCAAAAGCATAGCACAGGTTCATGTGTAAAAATATATGAAATTCAATGTTTTTATATCCTCTGCTGGTATCTGTGTTTAGTGATTTTAAATATATTTTATAACGATTACATTAAAATCATGTGTAAAGGTCCTTAATAGCAGGGTATTCCCTGCAATTATTAATGCAGCTGATAGGATTTACTTACTGTCAAACTACTTCTCTTCGTATCGATTTGTTGAGAATTCCCGCAGGCGCCCGCCTGTTTTGTTTGTTATGAAATTACTGATAGTCAACCAATTATAAAAAAAGTTTGGAGCCCAAAAAAGTATTTACATTAAAAAAAAAAAGGTTGCATTCAGCTGTGACTTTAAAAAGAAAATCCTAATTCACAAGAAAATTCGTGAATTAATTGTTGGAAGAAAAAATATTTAATGTCAGAGATCCATCCCAAATATTAAAGAGCAAAGTTCGTTAAATCTTCCAAAAAAAATTAAGATATCAATAGCAACTTTACAGAATCAAACTGCTGAAAAGATTTCTCGAGAACAAAACCAATATGATCAATCATAGGAATCAGGTATCATAAGGAAATATGATCATTCAAAACATAAGTTAGATAGAAGTAAGTTTTGAAATTAGATTTTTTTTACATTTATTTAGGGTCATTTGTACTTTTTCTATAATTGGTAAACATTTATTTGTTTGCATAATAAAAAACTATTTGTCTTATTCTTAGTTTTTAAATAGAGTAAAAATCAGTTATAAATTACATACTTTGTACTTTACACCAATATTACTTTTCTTTATTTTACATAATTACATATAAATGTAAGCTTTAGTTTATCTATGGAGATTTTTTGCTTGGAAGCCCAGACGTCTACGGTTGGTCATCTAGCAATGAATGTGAAAAGAGGGAGAAGAAGAAAGAAGAGAGGCTCACCCGCACGACGCCGCTCTTGTCGACGATCTCCTGGATGACCTTGCCGTTCTTGCCGATGACCTTGCCGACGAGCGCGCGCGGCACCATGATCGACTCCTCGGCGTACTCCAGCAGCGAGCGGGCGCGCCGCACCGCCTCCGCGCTCTGCCCGCACCCACACGCATACATACATTTCTTTCTTTCTTTCTTTTTTATGTTTTTATGTGAAATACCCTTATGGCAACGGTAATATTGTCTTTAAAACCTCACTTCTTATTATTTCTTCTCTTAGATCTTAAAGCAAGATTGAATTAAATATTTAGGACACATTTCTACACATTTTCCAGCCCCAAACTAGGCAATGCTTCTACTATGGGTACTAGAAAATCGATAAACATACTTAAGAATTCTTTTCTTTTTTTTTTTGTAAATAAGTACACATTATACATAATTATATAAACATCCAGACACTAAAAAAATGTTATGGTATGTTCATCACACAATATTTGTCCAGTAGTGAGGATCAAACCCACACCCTCTGGCGCAGGAGGCTGGCACTACGCCATTCGGGTCGTCCCTTAATTAGACTTTATATTCGAAAACCTCCTATATTCTAAATGGGACACACACACCATTTCCGAATACGTAACAGTTTAGTTTTGGCATTAAGTTTAAACGAAGGACTTTTGATAAGGTGGTATACCTCTCCGCAGATCTTGAAAGTGCAGGAGACCTCCTCCAGCTCGATGTTGGTGACGCCCGGCACCTTGCGCGCCTGCTGGATGTTGGCGCCGTGCGTGCCGATCGCCAGCCCCATCAGCTCCTCGCGCACGCTGAACTCGTCAGAGTATCTGTACGTGTGCAGTCCTAGCTCCAGTAATCAACATTCGATGACTCCGTGGCGCAGTGGCCAACGTATCGACTTCGGTGTCGGGGATCGTGGGTTCGATTCCCACACGGGACAACTATTTGTGTGACCCACAGACAGTTGTTTCCCATCTGGGTGTTTGTCCACGTGAAATTTGTCTGTAAAATATCCTTATAACACCGAATAACGTTATCATAAAGTAAGGGAAATGTTTTTGGTCAAAAAAGAAAAAAAAATCACAGCTCGCGGTGCGATAGCGATCGGAAATATCAGCGTGTACAAAAAGCTTACTATCAAGGACTTTCTACTATTATAAATGTTTAATCTCGCAAAATATCGTAAGTGTGAAAATAGCTGATCTATCAATTCTGGCGAGATCTGCAGATTAGCGTATTCTAAGGTCTACAAAGACAATTAATAAACTTCTATGTGTTCAAGAGGTCATATTTAATAAATTTTAAAGAAAGATATATTAAGCAAGATTTGATAAATTACTGTACTAAGTATTCCCATCCCATTTATTGGCATTGAAAAAGTTCTTATGCCAAAAATAATAATCATTCATCATTTAAAATACTTTCTACAATTGAATATTAGTTTAAATAGTTGTGTAAAGAGAAAAACAAGGGAGACAACTCACCCTCCTTGACTGTGAATTTTTGTTGATTCCAACTGTCTAGCTGCCTCTTCAGTTTTTTTTAACAATAGCAGCTTCTGTGTTAAGTTTCTGAAAAGAAATTGTAAATTTACAAATAGTTACCGATTAATACAATATAAACTTACAGAAGTAATTCCAAGAAAATTGGATAGTGTCGGCTAAGGTTATTTATTATTAAGTGATTGAATTAACCTTCTCCATATCGCATGTATGAAAACCAATACTACCGTCTCGGCACAAATCTTTGCGCCGTCGGCCCTGTAGCTTTCAACTATAATATCTGCACTCGGGTTTGCGCGGGTGGTGAGTCGGCCGCCCGTCGCAAATAGAAACTCAATTGTATCTTTACAAATGAGATCCTTGTTATGTGCAAAGTATGTACATGAGATATATTAAAATAATAACGAGATATGATCTTTGTATTTATTTTAAGTTACGTGACACAACATATGCACGATAGCATGAGTTCATAGTAAAATTCAAAAATTACATGGTCAATGTATTTGTGAATATGGCGGAAGAACATTGACAGATTTCAAGCGTCGATGGTAGATACCGTAAGAGTTAGCAAGTATCAGAATTTATTTCTTAGAATGCCGTTTGTTTATGTGAGTAGTTGGCAAGCGAGGTGGCGGTTCACCCGATGTTAAGTGATTACTCCTGCCCATAGACATTCGCTACACCGGTAGGATTTCAAATGATTTGTTCGACCTTGTAAAATGGGGCCCGGCTACCTCACTCGCCAGACGAAACGCAGAAGTATGACAGTTCAAAATTTGAAACCGAACAACTTCACGCCGGTGTTCTGTGAGGTCGTGGTACTTACCCGGACGGAACTGGTCATTCGCGCAACAGCCGAAGCTGCTGCGTGTCCCTACCACAGTATTAAAAAAATCGGTGGTAGATAGTGTGAGAGTGGGTCAGCATAAGAATTTCTTTCCTAGAATTGGTGCATTATTACACCCGTGGTAGTAAAAGGAGGAGTGAGTGTGTGCACCTGAAGTACATCTCTTGCAGCAAGAATTTCTATGTTAGAATTCTGCCTTATGAAGAATATCTTTGCATTATGAAGTCGGTGGTAGATAGTGTAAGAGTGAGTCAGCATAAGAATTACTTTGTTACAATGCTGTAATAGTGTAAGAGAAGGTCAGCATAAGAATTTCTTTGTTAGAATGTCTGCATTATAATGTCGGTGGTATAGTGTTTTTACACTTACTGGGTGGGCATAAGAATTTCTTTGTTAGAATGCCTGCATTACAACACCGGTACAGGTAGTAAAAGGAAAAGTGGGTATATGCACCTGAGTTTCATCTCCTGCAGCAAGAATTTCTTTTTTAGACTGCTGTATTATAAAGTCAGTGGTAGAAAGTGTAAGAGTGGGTGGTGCGCTAAGAATTTCTTTGTTGGAATCGTATATTATAGGTGGTTGTAGATAGTGTAAGTTGCGTAAGAGTGGGTCAGCATAAGAATTTATTCGTTAGAATGCTGTATCATAACGTAGGTGCTATAAAGAGTAAGAGTGGATGAGCATAAGCATGTTTTTGTTGAAATCCCGTTTTATAAAGACGGTCATAGATAGCGTAAGAGTAAAGTCAGCATAAAAATTTCTTTGTTTGAATGCTTGCATTATAAAGTCAGTAGTAGAAACTGTAAGAGTATAAAATCGGTGGTGTATAAAGTGTTCAAGTGTGTGGGAAGTCGATGGATGCAGGTGGGTCAGGATCGTGGTTCGTGGCAGTGTGTGGGGGTGGGTGGGCTATGTCCAGCAGTGGACTCAATCAGGCATAAGGATGTGTCCGTCGTGATCGCACCTGAAGTGCATCTCCTGCAGCATGCCGGCGCGCCGCTGCGAGGAGTCGCAGCGCGAGATGACGGCCAGCGCGCCCCGCTCCGGCACGAACCACACGAGCGCCGCGCCGATCGCCTTCTGGAACTCCTTGTGCGCGTTCTCCACCTTCGCGCTGAAAACGGCCAGGTACCAACTGCTCTATCAAGTGTCGGAATTAATGCATTCCATGAGTTGCACCACCAAAAGTAAGCTTTGGAAAAGTAAGCTAGTTACCTATGCACTTTTAGTAAGTACATAGGTAACTAAGAGAGATGGAATGAAAACAAGCCTCGGGGCCTAGTCCCCATTAATTGGGCGTGTGATCTCGACCAGCAAGAGGCTGGTCGGTGGTAAGGACGGACAACGGCCATTCGTAACTCAGACCGCGGTAGCGGCAGTGGCGGATGTACACAGCGTTAGACTCGACGTGTCACGCGTAGACGACATCGTCTATGGTAACTAAGCTCTTTCAGTTTAGTATACCAACCTCACACAAGGTCGGCGTGAATTACCTTACTTTTGCGTTTTCTTTACTTCAGCATCTCCAAAGTTGTAGATGTTTATTGGCGGCGGTAATCATTTAACATAAGGTGAACTGCCTGCACGCTTTCCAGCTTCTCGATTGCTGCGTGAAAGCTGTTGCAGAAAGTATCTTACAAAATTTGAGACCGAATAACAGAGTCATCATCATCTGGACCCCTGGGATTTATCGATTAAGGGTTTGTCTGTTGCGCGACACTCACTATTCCTTGAGATCATCGGGTACGGGGATTTCGAACTTGTGGAAGGTGTTCTTGTCGATGGGGGTCTTTGGCGTCTTCACTCTTAGACGCTCCTTCGGCACGATCTCCGTGTAGCAGTTGTCCCACTCCAGATACTCTATCACTAGAAAATCGCCCCGCATCATCTGGAACAGAATGAAAAATCACCATCATCATCATAAATGTGCACGAGCAAACTTTCCGTTTAGTTCAAGGAACGGAACGTCCTTGTGCCTGACTTTTGAATACGTTTGTTTTAATAATATTTCTGAAGACCAACCATACTGAAACTGCATGGGTCTTCAAAAGCTTTAAACTTTTTTGGTTCAAATTTAAGAGTGCTTACTTACTCTAACTTACTCTATACTCAGATATTATATTTGTTCTAGATAAACTTCGGCAGTCATGCGTAATTAGCTTTGATATTGTATCGCAAGAATTTAAACAAAAATAAGTTCACGGACAAGATTTTGGGCAATTCATTAGCGAGAGAGAGACAGAGAGATAAGTCGAACTCGGATCGTTCGAGTGCTATGACATATAAGGCGTTCACTGAGCATTCGTCGGAGTCAAGTTCGAGGTTAATTTATTTCAATGACGACCCTTTGATAAGTTTTTGTTTTTTTTTTTAACTTTTGCCCTTACTTTAGGATAAAAATTATCCTATGTTGTAAGGACGTTTTACATACAATAAATTTCACGCGAACAAACACCCAGAAGCGAAACAACTATCTGTGGGTCACACAAATAGTTGTCCCGTGTGGAAATCGAACCCGCGTCACTCTGCGTCGAAGCCAACACCTTGGCAACTGCGCCACGGAGTCATCATATCACATCACAAAAAAATAAAAAAGATTGCTTGGAAAAAGTATGTCACGGTAATTAGGGAGGCTTTCATTAACCGAAATAAATCTGCCTTTGCATTCAAACCGGGTACTTGATAAGTCGATAATTTTCGCAAACAAATGTTCCTAGGATACTCATAGTATGCGCTCCCGAAGCAGTCGTAATTGGAGGCCCAAATGTTCAACGGCGCATTTGCACTTGACACCCATAACTATTTTTGAAAGCAACATTTGAGATATTAACGCGATGCAGTATTTTTTATTGATGTTTGAGCAAAATTCTATACATAAATTGCCGTAAAATTGTATTACTTACAACTATCGATTAGCAACGCTTGTATGCTTCACCAAGGACGTGTTAAAAATAATTAAATTTTTTTTAACAAAAAATAACCGACTTGAAATAAAATGATGTACGTAACTATTACAATGTTACATGCCAAACAAGGCATATTTGTGCGATAGCAGCAATCGCGGTTGATTTCCTGTCTTATTTTGAAGAATTCCGTTGCTATGATGAAAATCATCATCCGATCTATATGAAACTTATATGGGACCATTTCGGAATAAGGCCCTTTCGAAGAAAAAAATATATAAACATCCGAATTGATAACCTCCTTCCTTTTGAAGTCGGTTAAAAAGGGTGTGTATCCTTTTGCTATGAAATTGTGTAAATGTAAATGTGTCATTTCTATAACTGTATTATAATTAATTCCTATTTTAATGTTTGTTCAAGTTTAATTCGATATTTAGAAAAAGGAAAAGAAAACAAGGCGAATAAGTGAGGAAGTCTAAATGGCATATTTTTACACTACGTAATCTATTTTCAAACTAAGCAAAGCTCGCACTATGGATACTAGGTTACTGATAAACTTACTTTGCTTGTATAAATAAATACACATTATAAACTAAGTTGTGGGGATCGAACCCACACCCTCTGGCGCAATAGACCGTGATTTTCATTTTATAATTCAAATTGGTGATCAAAACAAAAAAAAAGTTTTCTAATATTTGCCTCATGTTATTCCAGTTTTATCTATTACGAGCCTTCAAGCTAAATAAACAATTTCGCTATGCCGCGGAACAGAGACCTCACGAGGTCGTAAGGCCATATTTGTATAACATAATGCGCTCGCGAAATGGCTCCCAGAAGGCGTCGGATGAACACTCAGCCGAGAGCTTTTAAATTTCTCCGCGCTGTGTAGTGTATCGACGTATTCAAACTTGTTGCGGCAAGTGGCGGCTATTAGGGGACGTACCGTTTCGTTTCTACGGGCGAATTTTTGACGGAGCGATGGTGACTTGTTCATTTACTCTTTAAGTAAAAGAACTATTTACTAATTTTTGGTTTTTATATTAATTTCGACCAGATCAAGTGGCACGCAATTGATTAATCACCGTCGCCTCGTGTCACCCGAAACAAGCGAGATTTCAATACATTTCGATAAAAAAAAAACACTTTGCTATTTTAGTGCAAATTACATAAATAGATGTTACAATAAAGGAGCTCATGTTTATTGTATCACCTAATCATAAACTTTAATGTTTTTTGCAGGCACTGAAAATTTATTAATGAACACCGACACTTAAATCTTATATATAAAAATGGATTACTGTTCGTTAGTCTCGCTTAAACTCGAGAACGGCTGGACCGACTTGGCTAATTTTGGTTTTGAAATATTTGTGGCAGTCCAGGGAAGGTTTATACGATTTACGTAAAAGTTGCATGGAAAATCGAAATCGCAACAATTTTATTTTCCCATACGAACTGTACCTGTCAACTATGTCTGTGTAACCTGTCAAACACTATGTGTACGTTCTGATTCCTCTAGAAATAATTTATATGGCAAAACAACGTTTGCCGAGTCAGCTAGTTTTCGCTCGCTTACCGGACGAAAAAAAAAACACAACAACGTCACTCTATGATACTTTTTTGTTTGTGCAGTCATTCGCGCACCGAGATTGTGTATGGTAGGCTCCGCTGCAGTAAATAATTCATTTACTGTTTTTAGTATAACCCGTATAGCTGACACTGGTTATAAAACCGGGTCGAGGATAGCCATGATGACACGCCAAGTGCGGATATAAAGGAAAAGCTCCAAAACACGAGAATTGAGTGCAGGCAGTTAATTATTGTCCGTTCTAAGTCATTTGACTGGAAGAGTGATGAGTATGAATGTGATTGGGTGTAAATAAATAAATAAATATTTTAGGACACATTTTTTTTACACAACGTTCTCTAGTCAAGCCAAGCTTGTACTATGGGTACTAGAAAGCTGATAAACATACTTAAACATACTTTTCTTTTGTAAATAAACCCTATACATATATAAACACCCAGACACTAGAAAAACACTATGCTCATCACATAATATTTTTCCAGTAGTGGGGGTTGAACCCACACCCTCTGGCCCAGAAGGCAGGTACACTACCGACTACGCCATTCGGGTCGTCAAAATCATCTAGAGGAAGTAAAGTATCAGCCTATACCATATGTCCCACTGTCCGAATGGCCTTCTCGCATAGGTGGCATAGGCCACCCTTGTCGCGAATGCGAAGCAGTTTTTAATTTGTATACATGAAAAGGGTAGTTGAATATTTTAAGAGATAATTAATTGTCATAATGAGGGTAGATACGTAGAAAGAGGCATATAAAAGGGTGATGGACGATACCTCCAGACAATCAGTCGGTGTGTTGTCGGAGAGATCAGTACTGTAGTGCGAAAGCTATGTCGGTGAGTCAGTTTAGTAATATTGCATACCCGTGTATCTTATCAGATGTATCAGTCAGTGTATTCAGTAACCGAGGCGCTCGGACCGTCGTGGACGGTGGTAACCAGATAAGATTCGGTAACCGAGGCGCTCGGACCGTTTGCGGACGGTAGTTACAGATTAGGCTGAGATGAGTATCAGCATCAGCATCAGTATCTGAGATCCTTGACTGTCTGCGGACAGGGGGAAATCAGACTAGAAACAGTTCAGACTAAATCAGTGTAAAGCGAGGCTTGGGGTGGCTATAGCGGAGGTTGGAGGCCACTGCGGGGTGTATCCCCGAATAGTATCTGTGTACAGAATTCATCAGTATAGTGTATCATTATGGTAGTAAACATATTAGCAGTATGTGAATCCATCGGTAATTACACTAGATATTCGCCATTACACTTGTGTTAAGACAGTTTGGCGACAACCCTTGTGGGATTGACAGACTCCACATATCTTTGTAAAATTATTTTTTTCGTTTTTTAACCGACTTCAAAAAAGGAGCAGGTTTCTCAATTCGACCGTATATATATATATATTTTTTATGTGTGTTCGGGGATAACTTCGTCGTTTATGAGCCGATTATGATAATTCTTTTTGTATCGAAAAGGAGATATCCCAAGGGTGGTAACCATGATAAAGAAACCCAGATTTGATGATGGCATCCCGAAGAAATCGAGGGCAATCCTCAAATGTTATAGTTGTTGACAATGTTTTTTAGTTTCGTGTTTGAAGTCGGTTTTTTTTTGCTAAAAATTATACTTGTATTTCGACAATACGCAGGCTTCAAGATGTTTTCGTTCATCGGATAACACGTGATAAATCAGCACTTAAAATTACCGATCTCATTGGTCACGACATCGTGATATGAATTATGGTTACTCGAGTATATTGAATGAAAAGCGAGAGCCCGGACTCTGAGCTATCACGGCTCCCAGATAAAGAAAGACCGTGAAAGATTTGGTGGTGGACTGTGTATAGAGTGATATCTGTGAAAGGGGCGAGTATTGATACGACGGCTGATAGAAGAAAGTGGAAGGAAAGGATATGTTGTGCCGACCCCATCTAGTGTTGAGCAAAGACAGGAGAAAGAAGTCTGTTATCCAAACAGATCTTAACATTGGGTACATGTTAAGGTCTGTTTGGATCTGTTGGATTGATTCGGTGTTCGTGACATTCCGTGGCAGATGCCGTGTGACATCTCCATAAATTCCTATTAATCTCTCTCAAGTAGCCGGTGTTTCCGATTGCAAAAGCGATATTAGGTTCGCGTCAAAATAACCACCAATCGGGCGTGATACGTCGCCAGAGCGTTTATGTCAAAATAGCACGATAGGCGGCGGCAAACGGGTCAACGCCTCAGCGGAATCGGCGGGAACGCGGGCGGTCCTTTTAAAAATCTCCCCCCTAAGACAGTTTGCGCTGACGTTTGAGAGTTCGAAAATGATCACGTTTGATTTGTTTGTTTCATTTTAACTGTGGTAGCGCCACGCAGCTTGCACGCAACCTTGTTGCACGAATTAGCGGGCTCGTCCGGGTAA